TCGGCCACTGCGGCAGAAGATTCGTCGACGCCGCCGCCGCAACCTCTCGGTGAAGCAGACGTGCCCAATGAGGCGGACGATGCCCCAAAGTTATACCCTGACCAGATCAGGCTTGTTGAAGAGGTAAATGTGCATACTGGTCGACTCCATTTTGTTCAAAATATTAACAGTAGGAGTGATTAGAGTAGTCGTAGGGGATGTACATACTGTCGCCACATTAGACACATTGGTCGAGAAGACCAGTCTGCAAGGATACCCTCATTTTTAGTCGGAGTGTCAGCCGTTTGGATCAGTTTCAGATTCTAATATTCCTACTCATCGATCATCCTTCAGATGATATGCTTTTCATTTTGGGACCACAGATCACTCCACGTCATGGTGTTTATCGGAGGTATCCTTGTTTTGTATGTCAACGTGTTCCCCACTTTTTGCAAAAGAGCCACCCATCACCGATGCCAACAGCGTCCTATACAAATAACGACGTGTAATTTTAACGCAGCTGGAGCATGCCTTGATCGGTGGCAGTCTATGGTGTCGCGGGTGAACGAGGTCGCAAAATCGGCCGGTTTGTCCATAAACGCTGGGAGGACCAAAGTTTTTTCATGTTGCATCCCTGCCGAAGAGAAGGCACCTATCGAAATTAGTGGCTGTCAACTTGAAGAAGTCGACAGTTTCAAATACCTCGGACCGAGATTGCTACCGAATGAACGGAGTAAGGATGACATTGTCTCTCGAATTGACGCAGCACGACGTGTGTTCTCCAGCCTTCGGAAGTGCTTATGGACCCGGCGCGATATGTATATCTCAACAAAGATCCGCGTGTGCCGTGCATCTGTGCGGTCCGTTCTCCTATATGGATGCGAATATTGGGCTATGCGCGTGGAAGGTGAACAGAAACTGGAAGTCTTTGACCACTACAGTCTGAGGAGCATCCTTCAAGTGAAGTACACCGACTTCGTCTCAAATGAGACAGTCTGCACTCGTTGTGACAAAATCACAAGGATATCCCAGGCGATTCAGGAAAGACGGCTGAGGTGGTCTGGAAACGTTTTTCGTCGTCAGCTTCAGGAGCTCAGTGCTACTGCCT